GGCGCGCGCACAAGCCGCAGCGTCTCTTCAGTTCTGCCACACAGGTGCAAAGCAAGCGTACACACACACACGCGTTTCAGAGGGCACGCGAACGAGTTGATTCGTCTTTCGCATCTCCTCCTCATGTTTGAACACACACATACACACAGAATTATGTCAATAGTACCCGTCTCAACGATCATTCTTGTAAACGCAGTCAGTTATGTTTTAAATGAATGTAAACGGCTGAGAAAGAAATCGGATGTGTATCATTATACTGGATCCGTGCAGTCGGATTTAAAGGGACAGCAGCCTATAAATACGTGCTGCTGAATATGTCACTGATGTTAATCAAACAACAAAACAGCTATAACAAAGATTAATCTAAATTTAATTCATACAGTGAACACAATGCAGTGTTATTTTACACTTAATTATAAATTTCTGTACCTGAATACTACTGTTTATTTGATCTATGCTTGTAAATTGTGTATTTGTTCTTTTTTCCCCCGTTTTTCTTTCTTTTTTTTACTGACTGTTCACTTGCCTTTAATCATGTTTGAACTTTCTCGGGCTATTGTCTTTGCTGTGGTATATGAAGAAGTACTTAAAGTGTATGGAAAGCAAAGTCACAATGATATAAAATTAGTGTCATTAATTTTTTTTGTCATTCACATTGATGTTAAAATTAAATTTTCTGATTTGTGACATTACTTTTTATGTACTGCTGAAACTGCTGGTCACTTTCAGAAGTTGTAGTGATTCTTTCTTTTCCAAGAAAGGATGTGAAACAAATTGGTTATATAATTTTCATTTTTAAATATTTTAAAATATAATTTAAATAGATTTTTCACACTTTAAGCAATATCGTATCGCATATCGAATATCGCATTTTTTAACAAGGTATCGCGTATCGCATTTCTTTTCAATATCGCACAGCCCTAGTGCAAACATTTGTTCACGTCTTTTTTTAGTAGAAACTTTTTTAGGTTTTTATTGCTCTGTTGGTTTAGACCTTCTGTGGAAGATAAGCTGCAACGAAAGTCAGAAACATTAAAAAAATTAGCCTGTTACACTGTAAAAAACAGTCCACGAAAATGTAAAACAGGGTTATTTGCTCATTTTTGATGATTTTTTCAAATTTAAATCCTAAATAGTGGTGTCAAAGTTACATTTTATGTATTTATTATTATTTATTACAGAATTTTTAATCATGTTAAATTAAATTATGCTAATTGAATAATGGCTTTGTTTTTGCATTATGACAATAAAAATAACTATTTTTACACTGTTTTGGTTTGTTGAAACCTGTTTAACTACTACAGAGATATTATTATTATTTATTACTATAAACTTTAAATTGATTTGCTGATGACAAAATCTAGTTGAAATCGAAGTAGAAATTAAATTAGTAGTTGTTTTTGCATTATGGCAATGAAAATAAATATTTTTACAGTTTATGCTGGTTTGTGGAAACTTGTTTGACAACAACAGACATTATTTATTATTTTTTATCCACTTTAAATTACTTTGGCAGAAAATCAAGTTGCAAAGTAGAAATGAAATGATTAGAAGTTATTGGATTGTGACAATGAAAAATAAATATTTTTAGAATCTGTGCTGGTTTATGGAAACCTGTTTGACAACTGTTGAGATATTATTTATTATCATTTATTACTGAACTACTTTAAATTACAGGTTCAGAAAATAGAGTTGAAAGTGAAGTAGAAATGAAATTATTAGTTGTAATTGAATTATGCCAGTGAAAAGAAAGTTTTTACCGTATATGTTTGTTTGTGGAAACATGTTTGACAGCTACAGAGATATTAATATTTATTACTTTTTCAACCAATTTCTCATGAAAAATGTAGTTGAAATTGAAGCAGAAACGAAATTATTAGTTGTTTTTTGGATTGTGACACTGATTTAAAAAAAATTGCAATCTGTGCTGGTTTGTGGAAACCTGTTTGACTACTACAGAGATATTATTTATTATTATTTATTACTGAACATTTTTAGCAGCTTGAAATTGAATTAATGATGACTTTGTTGTTGTGTGGCATTTTATTACAGCTTTATTACTATTATTAATCGCTAACCTTTTTTGGTTGAATTATCATAAAAAAAGCTTGATAAAATCAATCTGAAATCAAAGTTAAAATTGAATTATTAGTTGTTTTGTATTATGAGAATTATGAGAGTTTATGCTGATTCGTGGAAGCATTACATATTTGTTATTTATAATTAATCGCGATTAATCGCATCCAAAATAACAGTTTTTGTTTACATTATATATGTATGTGTACTATGTATATTTATTATGTATATATAAATACACACACATACAGTATATATTTTGAAAATATCTACATGTATATATGTATATTCATATAATATATATATATTTAATATATAAACATTTTTCTTAAATATATACATGCATGGGTGTGTATTTATATATACATAATAAATATACACAGCACACACACATATACTATGTGAACAACAACTTTTATTTTGGATGCGATTAATCGCGATTAATCATTTGACGGCACTAGTTAAAATTGTGTAATGCAAATGAACGGAACTTTTATGTGCAATTCAAATCGTAGGTGAAGCGTACAGTGAGATAGAAACACTGGCACAGACTGTCCGTGAGCTCACTGTGTCCTCACCATTATAACAAATAAACGTATAACGACTTGCACACGAAACGTCCCAAAACTCTCCAGCGTCATCGACGGCGCCGCAGTTTTCGCTTCCTCCGGCGTTGTCCAGCTGTCCGTTTTTCCAGCATCTGTACTCGGCTTCTCCTTCCCCGTAGAAAGTGCTGTCGGACAGAGACCAGAACCAGTCTGGCTCGCCTCTCTTCAGGCCGATCCACGCGCTCGGATCCGTGATCCCGCTCACCGCGGCCTGCAGACGGCTGGAGTCCGCCGCGTCTTCAACGCTCGCCAGATCGCCGTGAAACCGTCCGCAGTACATCTGCGCATCACTGAATGTTTTCGCCTCTTTAACGAAGACAAACTGTTTGGAGATCGCAGACGAGATGCACATACCTGTGAAAGAGCGACAGTCTTGCATATTATGAATATATAATCCAGTCAGTCAGTTTCTGAATTTGATAGAAAAAGCAAACAGGTTGCAGAATAGCAAATTAAACGTGAGTTTAAGTGGACTGAAGTCCAAAGGAATGCATTAAGTAGATCAAATTAATAATGAATGCGTAATGCATACATTTTTCAAATATTACCCTTAAATGTGTTGTTATACACGCAAAATATGGGCCACTCCCACACAGTAAAAATTATGTTACAATAACATATCAAACCATTTTTTTTTTAAGTTGTGTGAAATTCAACTCAATTTTTGAAATTCAATTTAAAAAAAAATGAAGGCAGCAAATCAGCTTACGTTTTGAAGTGTGTGGAAATTGTTTACAGTTCAAAAACAACACTTGATATTAATACCCAGTGTTTTAATGCCATTTAGAAATTTGTTTTCATATTATATTTTAGTTTATTTAATGCACAGTGGTGGAAGAACTCTACAGAATGCTAATTTGCTAATCAAATAATGAATTATTATTTATTGAACAATGCACTTACCCAAGACAAACAACATGAGATTCATTTCTGGACTCGTGACTTCACAAAGCCCATGATTTTAGACACCTTTCTTCCTAAAAACTGAAGAGAAGATTGGTTTGGAAAGTATTTTCGTCATTCGTCACAACTTCTGAAACAACTAATAGTTGCATCTAAACAAGAAACCAGATCACGCTGGATCAGATGCTTTTTTTAATTTATTTATTTTTTCAATCGATGCCACATGAGAAACCTTTAAGGTTTCATGTTTTGCATTCGTATAAGAAGAAGAATATAATATGCATAT